AGGCCCAGGCTGACCCTTCGCCCCATTCACCACTGAGGGTAATGGAGCTGTCTGAACAGACTAGACCTCTGCGTGCTGGGGCTAGAAAGCTTCAAGGAGAGGCATCCAAAAAGAGCTTGATTCACCCCTTCTTATTGAAGCTGCTTTGACGCCACTTATCATAGATGTATGAGCGTCTCCCCCCAGCCTACTGATTTCATTCATGCTGAACATGAATCCCAGAGGGAATAACATGCCTCCATACTGTGCCACTGCTGTGGTCCAGGCCAGTTCGCTGGTTGGAAGCATATTGCAGTTGCAAATGTATTTCTGCCAGGCTAGGCATCCAGCCTGGTGTAAGCTGGATTTGTCAGAAGCGCGAGGGGATGAAGGCCCACTGGCATTGTTTCCCTAGAGGGATGGCGTGGGTGGCACTTCCTGACCCACCTTGCTTTCTGAGGACAGGCCGACTTCAACGACTATGAGGCCAATGATCCTTGGGTACAACAGTTCATCCTTAACCTGGAGCAGCAGATGGCAGAGTTCAAGGTGAGCAGGTGCTCCCGGGACCAGCTTATGGAGCCATCCACCTCTCACCAGAACAGCAGCTGCAGCATGTGCCCTTAGGGAAGCAGAGCGCCTGGACTCCTGCTAATGCCTCCCCCTCTGTGCAGGCCAGCCTGTCCCCGGTCATCTACGACAGCCTGACCAACCTCATGACTGGCCTTGTTGCAGTCGAGTTGGAGAAAGTGGTGCTGAAATCCACCTTCAACCGGGTAAGGTCTCTTCTCTGGGGAAGACGTGGCCTGTCACCCCAAAGCCCACAGATCTGGCAGTGCTGCCTGGCTTCCAAGGGCCTGGAGCTGCTGGAGCCTTGGGTGTCCTGGGGCCTAGCCCTGGGGAGATTGGGGAGCAGCCTGCTTATCTAGCTGGTCGGTGTTAGATGGACTCGTGAGCCCCAGAAAATGTGCCTGGTAAATCCTAGTCTCTATGGTTACGGTTGTTCTCATCTAGGAATGAGCTGGCTGGTAATGAGGCAGGATTAACACACGGCATATTTTGAGTCAGTCTCATAAAAGGTACAAGCATATTTCCTTTTATTGTGATTCACTTTATAGCATTTCAAAGATGTTGCATTCTTTTTTTATAAATTGAAGGTTATGGCAACCCTGCACCAGGCACATCTTTCAGTGTCATTTTTCCAACATCTTGTCTTCACTTCGTGTATATGCATCACATTTTGTCAATTCTCACAAGACTGCAAACTTTTTCAAAATGCTGTTTTACACTTAACAAGTCATAGCAACCCTCTACCAGATTTCCAAAGATTTAAACTACTGACCTGGCAATGCAACACACAGTGCACCAAGCCACCAGAGCTTTTGAACTTAATATGTGTAACTTTTATATGCACTGAGAAATTCTTTAAAAAATGTGTGACTCCCTTTATTGCACTAATGCTTTATTGTGGAGTCTGGAACCAAACCCGCAATCTCTCTGAAATATGTCTGTATAAAAGTAGCAGCCGGGACAAACACACAGAAATGGGGACAGAGCTGCCACCTGCAGATTGCGAGGAGCAGCAGAAACAGGGCCTCCTCTGAGCCAGCAGAGGCCCCTGGAACCTGGCCCCTGGATCCAGCCTTAGCTCCCTAGACTGTGTGGAGGCCACCCACACACGTGCACGTGCTGCGGTACTTGCTGATGCAGCACTGAGAAAGAAGCCCACCACGCCAGCGGTGGTCAGTGACGGCTTGTTCTCCTGCAGCTGGGCGGTCTGCAGTTTGACAAGGAGCTGAGGTCACTCGTTGCCTACCTCACTACAGTGACCACCTGGACCATCCGAGACAAGTTCGCCCGGCTCTCCCAGATGGCCACCATCCTCAACCTGGATCGGGTGCGTGGGGCAGGCTCCATGGTTCAGCCACTCGGCCTGGGGGGGAGGGGACCAGGAATGGGGGTGGAGGCAGCACTGGAATCCTGGCCCCTCTCCAGTAACTCCTGTCTTTCCCATAGGTGACTGAGATCCTGGACTACTGGGGGGCCAACTCTGGCCCCTTAACATGGCGCCTAACCCCTGCTGAAGTCCGCCAGGTGCTGGCTCTGCGCATAGACTTCCGTAGTGAGGACATCAAGAGGCTGCGCCTGTAACCGCCAGTGGGTCACCTGATCGGGTGCTTCAGGACTTGTCTAAGCAGGTCCATCCAGGCTGTGTGACCCAAAGTGCCACACCCGCCTCGCTGTCCTCTCTGGCCACGACGCCTGTACGGGGTCTCTGACCTCAAGGATAGCATAAGAGGGAATCTTGCAAGCCCTGTGCTTGTGAGTGGGCTGATGCCTGGATATTTGTTACAGATGGGTCTTCGTAATCCCGGGAAACCTCTGGAAATTAAGTTGCTTCTAGGATAAGAATGGGAGTTTCTGGGGAAAAATCAGGGGAACTTCACCAGAACTGGGATAAAGATATAACTAAAGTCCTTAATCAGGAACCATTTGATGTTCCTAGAAATGATAACATACAAGATGAAAATATAAAAGAAATTGAGATTGTTCTTAAAAGTATAATTTTGAATATGATCTTTGAGTATGTATCTAATTCCTCTTTTGTGATACTTGCAACTCATATTCAGCAATGTAATTGTATATTAGGAGAAAGTTTAGACTAGTTTCAACAGCAGAAAGTCATAGTTAATGAGAATAAAACAGAGAGGTTTAAGAAAAGACTCAAAAGACAAACTTCTCTAAAAGTAAAGGTCTCTTTAAGAAATAGGAAATATTACCAGATCAATAACAGGTGGTGGGAAGAAAGTACTTATAAAGGACCATATGTCCTGCCAACTCCAACACCAGTACCTCTTCCTTATACAGACGTTTTGTATTCCAAGGAAAAAGAATTGAATATTACAAATTAACTTGGTAAAAATAAGTTAAAGGAAGTCGTCCGCCTTAGTGCACATTGCCAAACAGAAACAAAATCTTATGAAACAAGTTGCAAAAGCTATTGATAAACATAGGAATGGTCCAGAGTGTAGGAAAATAGATGTTAAGATTCGTTAGGTACAGTACAAATATGAGTACAAAGGCAAAAACAAAGGTGGCTAAAATACAGTGACGCAAAGTAGGAGAGGAAAGGAAGTGAAATGTAAACCATTAACCATTGTCTAGCAGATGACCAACATAAGGTCACTGTGTTTCTTGTTCAAAGAATGTTTAATAGCTGATACTATTATTTAGTAATAGAAAAGATTTTCTTTTTGTTTTTTCTAGTTAAAATCTTATGTGAGCTTTGTAATCACAAAATGTTGGCTATAAGTCAAGTTTAAACAAGTTTAAATGTATAAAAAGCAAGCTTTTAGCATAATAAATCAGAGCTCTCTACATCATCCTGGTGTGCAGACTCTCATTTTCGCCGACTTCGTCCCTCACCTGCTCTTCACCAAGAAACCCCTTGAGTTTCTTGTCACGACCGTGGTCGGGTGGTCGGTGACACCAAAGGAACTCTGATGGCCCAGACCAGCCAAACCAGGGAAACGGGGCCTGGGCTCAGCCCACTCTTCCACCCTCAGCCCTAGCTGGGTGCAGCTTTGTGGGAAGCCTATCCCCTCTGGAAGCAGAGAGCCCCGAGGCTCCTCGTCAGGTGGGAAAGCCAGGGCAGACAGCACGAGGACCAGGCTAGCTCTGTGAATGGGTATCATCCTCTCACCCGCAGACAGTGCAACAAGCAAGCTGCCTCCTGCCAGCCTTTAGAAGACACGGTGCATCGGGGGCCTCAGGAATCAGGGTGTAGGTTGACCAGGCTGTAATGTTTATGATCACTGAATAAAGACACTACTTTGAGAGATGCCAGTGTGATCTTTCAGGAGGGCCTGGGTGCTACAGGGCAGGACAAGTCCACGCCTGCCCAGAATGTTATGGGGAAAGCCCCAAATGTCCATCTTCTCCACCGAAGGTGCAGGTCGCCCCTCTAGGGACCATGTGAGATCAGAAGCCCTCAGCCCCCTCATGGATCCTCGGCACCAGCACAGGGTGGTTTTCCACAGTGCCAAAGCCAAGTGGGAACTGCTCCCAGAAGAATCAGAAAAGACAACCTTGAAGGGAAGGGCACGGTGAGTTTATTCCAAGAACGTCAAGAGTTCTGAGAACACACTGCCCACAGGCACTGGGTGACATGGCACAGTCGACAGGGTCACGAGCTAACATCACTGCCATAGACCAGGGCACAGACTCCAACTCCTCCCCAGACAAGTGAACACTAAAGCCTCAGCAGCTGCTTTGTCTCAGCTCCAAACCACTGAGGAAGCAGTACCATTGAGCCATGAAGCAGAGGGAATAAGGCCCAGCACCAGAACTTCCAGTAGTTATTGCTGGAGGAGAGGGAGCAGCTGAGGCTGGACGACAGAGGCTTCAGGACAGAAGCCTGCCAGGTCCTGGGCAGCCTCCGTGATCAGTGCCTGTCCCTCGATACAGGCTCTAGAAGGAGCTGTGTCTCAGAAGCACTTGTAAAGCCTTTGGATAGGCCCTGCCTTCCCTTCCCTTCTCCAAACTCCAAAGTGTTCTCTCCTCATAATGAAATGCAAAGAATCCCATGGTGGCACTGAGACCTGGCCAACTGCAGCAAGTCCACCTGGGGGAGTGTGAGGTCTGCCCTCTGGAGCAGCTGCCATCTCAGGAAGGCCACAGAAATGCTGCCCAGGCCTCTGTGGGGCAGCCTTACCAGGAAACCAGCCACCTGCTAGAGGCCTCCGTGGAAAGTAAGAAGGCCACAGGATTTGTGAAGGGCACGTGGGGCACTGAACTTAGAACTTTCCTACATCCAGATGGGGTAGAGGCCAAGCTGAGGCCACCAGCATCCTGGTCACAGTCCTGTTTCAAAGCACGGTCTTTACTGCAAGTTCCTGAAACACTGGATCTAATCTCAGGTCAGCTTCCAGGAAGCAGGTTTCATGTGAAGGCTGGGTGGGAAGGAGCAGGCTGTGGTGGGGGGAGATACTGCAGTAACACGACCCCCTTTGCAGACACGCTCACGGGCATGAGCTTGGTGAGGCCTCCCTCTCCAGCACCTGTAGGCTCAGCCCCTGAGTGTCCACTTCAACCAGGTGGACGCTGTAGTTCCCGAGGCCCTGGGAACCAACAATAAGAAGTGATTATCGAAGGCTCTGAGCAGAGCTTGGTTTTTTCAAGGCAGAGTCTCAGTCAGCTAGTGAGCCACAGGGAAGTGTGCGCCCACCATCTACTGTACCCCCTGACCAGGTACCTCAGTCTTGGCCAGTACAGCTTCCAGAGCCTCCTTCTGCCGCGGTTTCTTTGTCAAGACATAGAGGAAGCCCCCGCCACCTGCCCCTGCCAGGCTCTGGCCATGTACGTGAGGTGCCAGGGCGTCCATCATCCGCCGCACTGCCAGGGGCTCACACCCGGGGGCCATAAGCTTCTTCTGTGCCCAGTACGAGGTCAGATACTGGCCCAGGAGAGGCAGGTTTCCTGGGTGAGGCAGGGTATTCACTCAGTGCCTGTTCATTGACTGAACTCAGGGCTGGCTGGATGGAAGGCTGCCTCTCGGGGTGGTTCTGAGAGTTAACGGGCCTGTAGTAGCGGGCACTGCCCAGCACATGTTGTTAGAGCCTGCTCAATTTGGACTTTCCTGAAACTCAGCTGTGGGGTCCAGCCTCTCTGCACCCACATCTGCTTCCAGGTGGGAGGACGGGGCTGGAAGGCCTGAGATAGGGCTCCTCAGAGACTCTAGGAGGTCAGCAGACTTCTGTTCCAATAAGGCCTGGTCAGGAGTGCCTGTCTAGTGTCCTGACAGCTGGAGCCCTGCGCCAAGCCCACCCCAGCCCAGCATTCGGGTCCACAGAAACAGGGCGCTGGGGCCCGGCTGCCCAGGAAGCTGACCCACCTCTACGGAAGGCTTCAGCGCACTCTCTGGCTTGCCGCACCAGGTTGTAAGCATTCTTCACCACTGTGGGCAGCCGGGCGTACCAACTCCTCAGCACGTCCTGCAGGGGCAGGAGCGGGGGGCATGAGGCCTGGGTCCGCTGGCCCACCCACCCCCCTTCCCCGGGCCACCACTCACCTGCAGCAGGTTTCGGGCCAGGCGGGTCTTGCCCGTGTACACCAGGAGCAGGTGGTCGTTGAGCTTCTGGACGAAGCCCTCCGGCACAGTGATCTCCTCCACCTCCACCTTAAGGGGCAGCTGAGCCTGGGAGTACCCTATCTTGATGCCAGGTATCAGGCCCCCAACTTGGTCCTGCCAGCCACCTCCTGCAATCCCAGTGCTCTGTCACTGTTGGGCTCCAACTGGTCCAACTTCAGGCTCCCAGCTGTCACCCCGTATCTGAGACCAGTGTGAGAAGGCAGCTTTTCCTGACTCCAGCCAGGGCAGGTGGGCTGTGTGGCTTCCACCCTAGGCTCTGGAGCAGAATGATCCCAGCACGGGAAGGGATTTTCACTCTGGGCCCCAGCCAGAAGTTCACAAGGCCCGAGTCATTTTCAGATCTTATGTGTAACTGGAATTGGGGTGAGCCACCCTGAAGGAAAAGGATTTTACTAACCCCTGGCCTTGCAGGAAGTTCTAGCCAGAGGTGGCAGTGATACAGGCCTTCCCTGTGGTCTGACAGGACCAAGAGCGTGGCCTTTTCTGATAAAAAAAAAGTTTCTGTTTGGATTAAAAGCACCTAACATAAAATGTTAACACAAAACATAACATGTTGCTTTAACAATGAAAGGAGTACAGCCCTTGTTCCCTTGCATCTACATGAAAAATGATAAAACTGGAGATGGTTCTGGGGTGCCTGTTAACACTTGGGTCAGGGCCAGCAAAAAGGTAAAGCAGAAAAGGCAAACAGTGGGAGGACCCTGAGAGCCCTGAGCTGCTCAAATGTACCTCTCTTCTCAGAGAATCAGAATAACCATACACACTCACATGCTTGTTGATTGTCTGCCCCCAACAAACCAGGGGATTTTTGAGGCCCAGGATGCCATTTTTGCTAATATTCCCCCCAAGACTCAACATGGAGTGGACAGTCACTACATCATCATCAGTGGACTAACTCAAGATTTGACCAGTACACCTAAAAGAAAACTGGAAAGATCGCCCAGCAGCCTCTACTGCTAGCGGCTACTTAATTAGGATGCAAGTGGTTATAAAGAAAGGAAGAGGCCGGGCTGCAGTCACCAGGAAGACCCCTAACCATCTCCACATCTTTGTGGACGTTTCCTTTCCAGAGACGTGATGGAGAGCCGGATCCCCTAGGATCTAGACCCAGACACACTGCCAGCCGCTCTCCACCGGGCATCGGCCCACAAGGGGCCCCCACTGGTAATGTTCGGTTATGACCATACACAGGGTGGAGGCAGCGGGTGAGGACATGGAGTGGGGAAAGAGGATCATAACCTTGGGCAGGGGCAGCTGATATCCTGTCCCTTTAGGCCAAGTCCAGCTCTGTGCAGCCTGGCACAGGGGACTGCCCTGGGGATTGGGGGGCACGAGGTATAGGCAGTGACTGATGCACGTCACCGATGCAGCAGAGTCTAGCACTTAGTGTCGTGTGTGCCAATGAGTCAGAACTGACTCACAGATGACCCTCCAGTGGGCCATCCTGTAAATCACACAGGAGGAGACTGCCCGTCTTATTCCCTCGGGGCTGTTGTTGATTCAAACGGCCAGCCTTCGGCTTGCAGCACAACTCCCTACCACCTAGGGCCACCAGAGCTCACTCAGCACTTAGCATGTGCTTATCAAATGTGCTGCTCTGAAGCAGAAACCTTTCCAGTTGAAAACCAGCAGAGAAGGGCACCAGCAGTGCTCAGAACAGCACAGTTCTGCGGCTGCACGCAAACTGAGGGCAGCTTCTGAAAACACCGAGGGCATGCCAGGCCTCCCCCTGCACAGGACGTACCTGTGGTGAGCAGCTGCCAGGCCTCCCCCTGCACAGGACGTACCTGTGGTGAGCAGCTGCCAGGCCTCCCCTGCACAGGACTTACCTGTGGTGAGCACTTGCTCCAGGTGCAGCACGGCATGGATCAGGTCCTCTTTGCTCACCACCCAGCCAGCAGCCCGCTGCACGGCTGCCAGGGCAGCGCCTGCCAGGATGCTGCTGGTACCTGCAGGAAGTGGAGTGTGCCAGGGACGAAACAGCACTGCCCTACCCTCCGGCCAGGGCACTTCCTGTCAGGCAGGTGCGCAGGAAGGGGAATGGAGGGGAGGCTGGAGGGTAGAGAGTGAAAAGGCAGCAGGGAGCAGGCCCACTCACCGAGGCCAGAGCCATGGGGCAGCTTGGACCAGGTGTGCAGCTCAAAGCCACCCTCAAAGGCATGGAGCAGCTGCTCGCCCAGCGAGAGGCTGGCGCAGAGATTCACGATCCCGGCACAGATGAAGGCTGCCTTCAGCAGGGCCCCTAGGGAGGGATAGGCCCCGGCCAGGAGTTAATCTCCAAGGCCAGAACTGGATGCTCCACTTCCACTGCGTTCCAGTGCTCATGCAATGGGACGAAAGCCGAGAAGCATGCGGTCTCATCCATACGCCACAGAAGGGCCCCTGGGCTTCTGTCACAGTGTGTCCCCAAAGGCAGCCAGGTGTCATCTGTTCCTTCCTGGACCTCCACATGCCTAGGAAGGTGACCTAGGTCCTGTCCAGTTCTGTCCTTCCCTTCAGGCCCTCCACCAGGCTGGCCAGCCCCGCGCCGGGCCCAGGTCCCCACCCCAGTCGGCTGTGGTGCCACCCCCACCGCAGGTGTCCAGCTGCCCTGACCTGGGGCATGGGGCTGGCAGTAGTCCTTCAGATCATCCAGGCTCCGGCACACAACCGTCATGGTCATCTCATCCTGCCGCGGCCCCACCGCCAGCCTCAGCTCCGGCTCAGGAATGCGACGGGCTTTGGCCCCAATGGGCCGGAGGCCGTCCACACGCACGGCCAGACCCACCACTGCCCCACCAAGCTCATAGGCCAGAGGTGGCGTGTCACTCCAGCCACCTGCAGCAGTGTGACAGAACCACAGACGTCACAGGGCCTGCCAGCTGGGCCCTGCAGTGGCCCCCTACCCCACTGCCAGGGAACACACTCACCAGAGAAGTCGACGCGGGCTGGGCACTCAGCCACCACCCACTGCCCAGGCGCCGGCAGCTCCACCGGCTGCTTGGAGATGAACTGCTTGGTGGACATGACGGCCTGGCGGATCAGGATCTGCTCGGCCCCCTCGTAGTGGCGGGCAGCTCGCACCAGCAAGGCTGGCCTGTAGAGAGATAGACATGGCAGCCCAAGAGGAGGAGGAAGCCATGGGCTTGGGGACTGGCTTTGATCTCTGAAGAAGGCCCTCACATCTCAGGCTTTTGACCCCCACAAGCACCCACCTGCTCAACCACTTGTCCCGCTCCTGGGCGAGCGCCCCCACTCCCCTTGCCAGGTCGCCACACTCCAGATATGAGAAGGGCCGAGTCCACTCAGGGTTGGCAGCTGGTCCACTCCGCAGGCCTCCACAACCGTCCGCCATGCAGGCCAGCACGTCCGCCACACAAGCCAGTGCCCGCGCCGCTACCCCGGGGTCTCCTGCGCCAGCTGCAACTGAAGAACCAGGGGAGGGGTCGCTGGGGAAGGGGTCGCTGGAGAGGAAGCTCACCCCCAATGCTCTCTATTCCCAGAGACCACAGCTGCTTAACAGTCCCCAAAGACTCCAGGTCCCTGCTTTTGCCAGTGAGTTACTCCTCCTGCTCAGGTAAGCCTCCCATCTGGCAACCCCAGCTGGAAGGTGCCCTTGGGGATTAAGAAGTTCAGGGTCAAACTGTCTGTGTGGCAGTACATGGGGACACAGAACCCCAGTGGCTGGGACCACAAACAAGCTGTCACACACTGGGCTAAGGCTCCGAGTCCCCCACTGGTCAGTTAGGACCTCAGGTAGAATTGGCCTTTCCCACAGAGAAAGATCCAGGCCCCAGATTGTGATGGATTTACTGGTGCAAGGACCTAGCAGCTGAGCAAACAGGCCCCAGTCTGACCTGACTGAAAGTAAACCCCACTTGCCTCTCTCTTCCCTGCTCTAAAATCTCCCATAGCTCCCTAGTACCCTCAGGCTGATAGCCCAGAAGGCAGGCCTGAGCATGACGCCAATACTCGTGACCAGCATACTCACCCTGGTCCAGTGTGGCCAGCAGGGGTCCGGGGCAGCCCTCATGGACAGCAGCCCGGATGAGAGGCTGCAGGCTGAAGTCCTGCTGAGCCTCGAGCACATGCTGCACCTTGTGCAGGGCCTGACGGAAGAAGAGGTCCCGGCGGGCAGCCAGTGTGGCAGCCCGGTCCAGGCAGGGCTGCAGCTGGTCCCAGGACAGACGCCAGGAGGCCCTCCAGGCCCGCAGGGCCTCGCACCCATCCTTCTGGGGGTCCAGGATCCACAGCAGGTCCTGGGGTCCCAGTGCCCTCGAGGGGTGCAGCACAGGGAAGAGGCGGGCGCTGAGAAGGCAACGCTCTGAGGGCGGTGTGTCTGGGTCCCACAGATCCCAGTCTCTGGTTGGGGAAGAGGGCACAGTGAAGGTTAGTGAGGGCTCTGGCCCCTTTGCCCAGATCCCCTGTTACAGGGCCCTGCAGTAGAGACTTGACACTCTTCTAGTTGCTGCCACCAAGAGGCAGCACACCACTGCACAACTGATGTCATGGAGTTATACACATTGATGGGAATATACTCTGTGGTGCATATTCTCAACAACAAAAAGAAATCATATTTAAAAGAGAGGCTGTGGGCGAGTTCTGGTGGCCTAGTGGCAAGAAGCTGCACTGCAATCTCAGAGGTGCACAGTTCGAATCCACCAGATGCTCTGCTGGAAAAGGAGGAACAATCTCCTCCTGTACCAGTCAGATCTGACTTGACGGTACACTCAAAAAAATAATGAAATAAAATAGAGAGAGAGAGAGAGAGGCTGTGTAAGTGGGGACAATTCAGGCCTTGCTTCCTCGGCCCAGACGCTGAGAAATCTCGAGGCCTGCGTACAACCCCAGGCACTGCAGGAGGGTGAGGGGCTGGGTGCCATCCCAGGCCAGCAGAAGGGATGAACCCACAGCCCCCAACAGCCACCTAAGCTTACCGGATGCCTGTCTTCTGGAAGAACTCACTCCAAGGCATGTTGAGATATGTGCCTGACGCCTGTCTCTGGGGAAAAAGGAAGAAGCTTTCAGAACCAAGTGACCACAGGAAGGGATGAGAGACATGAGGCCAGGGAGCTGCTCAGGGGGACAGGAAGAGGGACCTCGGTAAACAGTGCTAACCCTGCTGTGTGGCCTGCGACAGTTCACCTCCCTTTTCCAAATTACCCCAGTCTATGTAATTGGGATACAAATCCCCAGCCGGCCCTGAAGAGCAGACCAGAGGAGGGAGAAAAGCCTGCTGGGACCCCTGGCCACAGCTTCCTCAAGGTCTAACTACCAGGCCTCTGATATTCACAGCACAGTGGGTGCTGGAGCTCCTCAAAGCCAGAAGACAGAGGTGGAGGAGAAGCGGGGTACCTACCTCCCAGCTGTCCTGACACCCTGCGAGGGTGAAGACCCGGCCTGGGGAGCCATGCAGCCGCACGAAGTGTCCCTGCAGGACAAGGTCTCGCAGGCCCACGTCGCGCAGCGCCTCCGACTCGGCTGCATCCAGGCCACTCAGTAAGCAGCCAGTGCCGATGTTAATGGGGCCCTGGGGGGTGAGGAGGGGGTATCCTGGATGGGTAGCACAGCCTGAGCACCCCACATACAGTCCCCTAGCCCTGTCCTCCCTCCCAGATCTCACCTGAAGGTGGCAGTGCTGCAGGATGCTCCCAGGATGCAGCCAGACAGGGCCCTCCAGCAGGCAGCTGACCACAGAGCTCCCTGGCATCAGGAACTCTGGATCCTGTGAAGTCAGGAAAAAAGGTGGTAAGGTTCCTCAAGCTGCCCTGAGCCCGCCCTGCCCTGAGCCTGCCCTGTGCCCTGAGCCCGCCCTGCCCTGAGCCCGCTCCACCCCAAGCACTGGGCATTCCTGGTTTCAGGACAACCAGAGCCTTGCCTTCTCTGTGCCCACCCCAACACCAGCCTCAGGCCTCTTCTCAGCCAACTTTTGCTCATATTGTTCACCCGGAGCAGATCATAAAGGAGCCTTCACAGAGATGACAGCTTTCCAGAAGGTTCTTCCCACCTGTCTTTATATTCCCTCCCTTGGCCCCTGTGACCCCCTCTGCCTGGTCCTCCTCAACATCCTGCCACCTAAGCCCATCACTTCAAGTGTGCCTGTCTCCCCAGGAGACCCTGTAGAAAGTGTGGGGGGGTGGGGGGGGGTGTCTGTCTTTAGCTTCTCAGTTGGGCTGACTGGATCTCGTGTACTGACTTGGCCACTTATTATCCCTGTGGCCACAGGGCTCTGAGCCTCCAGGATCTCATCTGCAGAATGGGAACAGTAACACCACCTACACTCACAGCTAATCTAAGCATGAGTTACCTCCCTTCCCCAGAGCCTCACCCCACCTGGCCTCAGGGTCCCAATGGGCACCCCTGTCAGGAAGGCAGGTCTCACCTCCACCTGGGCATGCACAACCTGGGCCCTGGGGGCGTGGGGCATTGTGAGTTTGTGCAGAAGGTCACTGGCTAAGGAGGTCAGGTAGTGATAGCTGCCATCAGGGATGTAAACTGTAAAGACACAAGGGCTGATTCCAGTCCCACACCAGCTGTGGGGCAGGTGCCAGGCGGGGCTGCCAGCCCACCTCCTCCTCATGCCCTGCAGGATAGGCGTGGTGAGGAGGCTGTGGTGCAGACAAGGATGCTGAGAACCAGAGAGGGTCAGCAACTTTCTCAAAGTCACACAGCTCGAGCATGGGAAGATCGGGCCAGGAGCCCAGGAAAGAAGCAAAAGAAGGGAACAGAGTCACCATACTGGGGCCATTGTCCAGTCCATGTGTAAGGCTGCCACTTTCCGGGGGTCCTCACTCCCACAGTCACCCCGAGAGCAGACAAGTGGTACCCACCCATGGAGAGGGGCTGACCGCGAAGCTCCCGCCACAGCTCTGCCCGGGCACTCTGCAGATAGCCCGCGCTGCCCGCGTCGCCTTGCCCCAGCTCGGGGGGCTGCCCCACCAGGAAATGCTCCTTATTCACGTTCTGAGCCATGCAGAGCAGGATGTCGAAAAACAGAGACAGCTGCAGGGGTGGGAGAGGCACAGATATTGGGGTGCAGGAAGTGTGCCTGACTGTGCCCACCCCAGAGATGATGATCCACACCGGGCAAGGGCCAGTGTGAGGTCACACGGCCAGGCAGCTAGGGTCAGGATCGGTGTGGTGTGTTATCCCCAGACCAGGACCCCCAGTCACCTGGACAGGCCGGGCTCCGGAGTCCAAGCCCATGTAGGTACAGGCATCCAGGGGCGGGGTCACGTGAGTGGCCAGGAGGTGCTCGGCGGTCTCCACAGAGAAGAAGGCAATTCCAGAGACCTGGATGGGGCTCCCCCAAAAAATCAGAGGAGAGACTCTGAGGCCAGGCTCAGCCTTGAGTCTGGAAAGATGCACAGAGAAGGGCCAAGCAGGGAAACTCGCCACACTGGGAAGGGCCTTCGCTTGAGAGCCCCCAGAAGCCAGGCCCCAGTTTACCTGGGCAGCTCTCCTCCAGGGGCAGCGCCCATCCAGGGGTCCCTGGGCAGGCACCTTTAGGGATCACTTCAGTTTTCAGGCCTCCTCTGGAAACTAGATCTCCTCCTTCCTACAGTCCAGCCCAGACCCGTCCACCAGCCCTAGCCTGTCCTTCACTTCTACAACATCCCTCCAAATGGCATTCCCCAGCCGGGGGCCTGCTCTCCAGTTCAGAACGGCCTCTGAATTCCCAAGCTACCGCTCCCACAGATGCTGCGGCTCCTCTCAATGTCAGTTCTAATGCTCCCCAAACCCCAGTTCCAGACCTTCCTCAGACTCTGGTTCTAACCCCAGGAAGCTTCTCGAAGCAAGGAGGCTCTGCCCTGGGTGGGAAGGTAAGCCCTCCACCCCAACTCCGCGAGGTCCCCAGAGCCCCCACGTCGGACACACAGCCATACCAGCGGCACCCTCCCGTCAGGCCTGGCGCAGCACTGTAGCTCGGCCTCGGAGCCCTGGTAGTAGATGTCCAGGACGGAGCCCTGCGTTGGGGAGTACAGTTAGGTGAGGGAGGGCCATCAGGAAGGTGGACGCGGCCGAGGGAGTCGGTGCGATATGCTCCAAATGAATGTTCTAGACACCAGTCTGACCGGTACCTGTGTGTTCAGGAGACTGCCCGAGATGAGGGGTGAGGGAGGGCTTTAGATGTCTTTACAGCCTCAGTGCCCAAGCACAGACCTCACCGACACCGTGCCGTCACGTTTGCCAAAAGAGCAAGGAAAGCCCTCAGGGTCAAGGGTAAGGCAGGAGGCTGCCCAGAGCGTGGAAGTGGACGTGGATGGTGGCGCAGCCCCAGGCCCACTCCGCTCCCCTCACCGCAGCACTCAGGGCTCTACCTGGGTGTCACTGAGGTAGACGCCGTGGTTCCGGGCGTAGGCCGTGCTCCCTGGAAGGGCAATCACTCGGGCTCCCCGGAAGCCGTCCCAGTTGATGCCTGTGGGTGAGGTGGCCAAGAGGACACTCAGGGCCCCAACCCAGGTCCCCAGTTGGGAGGAGGCAAGGGCTCGAGCAGGGCTGTCTGTCAGGACATTTGCAGGAGGGAAATGGGCTCCCAAAAGCCAGTGGCCATTCCTCTAGGGGACCCAGAACCCCTCTCCGCCCACATCTCTTCCCCAAAGTTCTGTGGGGCAGATGGGACCAGGGACCAGGTGAGGGGTGGTCTCCATCCTATAGACAGGTAGGTTGAGGGGGTCCTGCATCTTGAGTGGGCTTCATTCTCCTCAGGCTACAGCTTCTCTTCAGGTGGGGCTGTGGACTGGCCCACACACAGCTCAACTCTCTACCATCTTACCACTCACAGTAACGCCCCTCTGAGTTTCGGAGGCCTTAAATCCCTCCGGAGGAGACTGCCCATCTCTCTCCCACAGACCTACCTACCGGTGGGCTCAAACCACAGGAGAAGTGTGGCCCTTTGGTTAGCAGTGCAACTCTAGCTAGACTCAGAGCTGCCAGGCCCAGAGATGGGGGGGAGAAAAGACAGAGCACGCCTCTGCAAGGGAGCCCCAGGCTGGCCCAGCTCACCTGGGTTTGGAGGAATAGAGAGCAGCATGTCGGTGCTACAGACCCACACGCCTGGTGGGGAGCCAGGACCCAGCTGCAAGGGGGAGAGAGGCTGCTGGCCGGGCGCTGGCCTTCCTCACCTCCGGCCCAGCTTCTCTGCTGCTGCATCTGTCCCCCGGGGCCTCTGTGGCTGAGGTGCCATGGTGACCCTTATCTGAGGATCCCTCTCCCCCCAGTTGTGACCGAGACTAACTTCTCAAAGCTCTAATGAACCCAGGGTACCCCTCAACCATCCTTAGTGTCCTCAGACTAAGGCACCTAGATAGTAGCTGACGACACAGTGGGAAGGACAAGGCAGTGTCTGGGAAGGGGCCCACGGGGCCGGCTACCCTTACCCGGTGGCTCATGATGTCCAGCAGGCAGTCCAAATTACAGACCACGGCCTCCACGGGGGCCTGGGGGTTCTCCACCGGGAGGCAGGTGAAGGCTCGGCCACAGTCATCCAGAGGGAAGTCCCGGCCCTGGTGGACAGGGTCATGTGAGAGAGCCGGAGAGACACGGCTGGGAACGCCCCGGGGCTGGAGCCATCAAGCTGGAGGCCTTGTGAAAAGCACTGCCTTTGTGTTCTCTTACAATTTGTTAAATTACATGATTGCTCTAAAACAAAATAACTGAGAAAGCTTGAATTATACAGCTGTGAAAAAATTCCTCAGAGGCAATAAGCACCACTCTCAGGTGATGACCACCCTGTCTGCCCTTTCCTCCTGCATTCTCCTTTCCTTTTTCCACGCAGGCAGCTATGTCTTAAAGAAGTGTTAACGAGAGTGCTCCTTGAGGCAAAGCTGGAGGAACTCTGTCTCTCATACTGTGGGCATGTTGCTAGGATGGCACAGGACAGCACCCAGAGCTGAGGGTCACTATGAGTCATGCTCGACTCCACGGCACCTGATAATAACAACAACTAACGTAAAAATGAGGGCAGAAGGAGGGAGCGTGCATGGAGAGAATTGCACCTAATGTTGCAAAACATAATATACGATTGTTGACTAGAAAGTTAATTTGTTCTGTAAACGTTCACCAGCTAGAGTAAAAACAAATATATTTTACAAAATGAAAACACATGCTGAAATGGTGGAGCCAAAAGAACTGAATACACACACACACACACACACACACACGAATATAATCAAACTGAAAATATGAAGATAGACAAGGATTAGCACCAACCTCAACACCTTGGGTGTGATGATGTTACATAGCGAGTCAGAGGCAACTCATAGCTGACCCTTGAGCAGGTTTTCAGAGGCAGTTAATCCCAGGGGAAGAGATTGTCCATCTTTCTCCCTCAGAGCAGCTGGTGGATTTGAACCGTGTGCCTTTAGGTAAGCAGCACAGCTCCTTGCCACTACGCCACCAGGGCTCCCCAGTTGTGATATACTATCATTTTATAAAACGTAACCAGTTAAAGAGAATCTGAGCAAAGATTACAAGGGATTCTCTATCTCTGCATTATTTCTAGTAAATATTCGTGTGTGTGTGTGTGTGTGTGTGTGTGTGTGTGTGTGTGTGTGTTTTTCTGTGTGTGTATAAAGAGAAAGAGAAACTCTCCAAAAATTGAAATTATAAAAATGGGATCACTCACTCAATGAAACTATATGGACAGAGCACTTTACAGGAAGCTCTGTTTTCAGGATCTATATGGTTCATCTCAGCTCATCTATACAAAGTAGGAATTACTGTTGTTTCGTTTTAGAGATGAGAAGAGTGAGGCTGACTTGGCAAAGCCACAAAGCAGTAAGTGTCTTCCTAGGAGCAATCTATCTATATACAGCACATGGGCTCAATGTATAGAGAGGCAAATTTTCCTCTTTAGCTCTTGAATTGCTGTCTAGTATTCCAGCATGAAGATAAACCGGGTTGATTCAGCCAGTTCCCTAGTGGTTGGATATTTGGGTCCCTTCTGCTTCAGACACTTCAGGATTGGAACAATGAACGCTCAAACACGCAAAGGGACAGCAGCCCCCTGGCCCCTGCTCACCATGTGCAGGATGAGGATCGAGGCCGACTGCAGGACGTCAGAGTTGACCACCTGTTGGGCGGGGGAGAGCCCTGTGAATGGACCCCGAGGACAGGTGACCTGCCCTGAAGACAACAGCACCCAAGAAGAGGCTCCTAAACAGATGCCCCAAAAGGAAAAGAGGCAAGGTCAAGACCAGAGGTCAGAGGCAGCGAGGCGGCGGTGCTGGCTCCTTCGGGTAAGGGAAGGGTAAGGCTGCCTGATGGACACTGCAGTCCAGGACGTGGGGCTGGCTGAGGCACCCCCATGACAAGCGCACAGGGATGCTTCCATCCCTGGAGCATGGCCATGCCTGGGGCGCCTTCACATCCTCCACTGGGATGTGGCAAGGGCCAGGTGACAGAACGGAGTGGCTGGATGTGTAGGGACAAAACCCAGTGCGGACACTGACTCACAGGCTCTGCCCACAAGGGGAGCCCCACCCCAGTTCCAGCAAACAGTTACCATGTGGCAGCAAGATCTTAGAACTTTTCAAGTGAAGCCAGCAAGCCTGACATTGAGATGCTGGCCGCCCTGGGAAGGCAGCCTCCACCCACTTCACAGACGTGAGAACTGAAGCCAAATGCTGAGCTGGCCGGGACGATGGAGCCAGAGGAGCAGGGACTCCAGCTGGTTTAACCCCTTCCCTGCACCGAGGGCGGCACCTCTCGGGAACTCACGGTGAAGCCGGCCCGGGCACTCAGGTGTTCAGCAGCCACCAGCAGGGCATTGAGGGTGGCTCCTCCGCTACCCACACGCATCTCGGGGTCCTCCACAGTTAGTAACAGCGTCCCAGACGGGATCTGCTCCCGCTTCTGCCGAATCTCCAGCTCTGTTGGCCACAACACATGCTGAGACGTATCCCCCAGGCCTCCCCGCCCTGGCCTGCAGCACCTGGAGTATGGCCATGGTCAATTTACCACTTCCTTTGACTTATTAGCTTTTCACATAGTAGCTCCCCTGTTGTTGGATGCCATCAAGTCGACTTCAATTCATAGCGACCCTGTGAATAACGGATCTCAAGCCTGCCCGTCATGACCCCTGCTCACACAGTCACTGCGTCAATCCATCTCGTTGAGGGTCTTCCACTCTTTCTCTTACATCACTCATATAATAATTGTCACAGAGTTCAGTATCACACAGTAACGTTTTCAAACGTCAATCATGTAGTATAGATTGAGTTTTCTGGTGTGACTCTGAGTTTTAACACAAGCATTGTTTCTTGTGTCCACTACTTCCATGTTCCCCAGTATGATTAGTCTTTTTCCAGGACTTATCAAGGGGTTACCCTCTTGACCTCTCCAAGGTGCCATTATTCCCATTTCACAGAGGAGGAAACTGAGACCCAATGAAGTGACACAGCTAGGAAGAGGCAGAAGTGAGGTTTGAATCCAGGTCTGCCTGCACCTTCAGGCCGTAGCAGTTGGTCAAGGGAGGGGGCTAGGGCATCTACATTATTAGGGTAGCAGGGAGGATACCCTCTACCTTTCTGGAAGACCTGGACGCTGTCCTTGTACTGACATGTCAGGATGATGACCGTCCAATCCACACCCTTCCGCTGCTCCATTCTGGTCAAAGTTGAGGGGCTACCTGAGATGGAGTAGGTACATTTTAACATGTTAATTATCATATAGTAGCATTTAAAAATGTAAATTATCATATGCATTGAGTTTTTTGGTGTTTTAACACAAGCACCGCTCCTCATGGCCACCACCACTACCCATCACACCCCTCAGAATTCCCTCACGTCACACTCCATCCCATTCTAAACCCTAGCAATCACTGATAGTTTAAAAAAATGTCAAACAAAATGTCATCTTTGGCTTCTTTCACTCAGCCTACTGCCTCTGAAACTCATCCAAATTGTTGCTTCAAGTTTGTTCCTTTTATTTGCTGAGTATCAGACGTTTATTTCTTATAATTGTTGCATTGATAGTTTGTTCCTTTTCATTTACACAGCGCAGGACCAAGCCACAGTCTGCTCCTCTGTTCATCCAACAAAGGACATTGGGGGGGAAAAAAAACAACAAAGAAAGGACATTTGGATGATCACAGACAGAGCTGCCATCAGCATTTGTGTGCAGGTTCTGTGTGAACGTAACACTTCATTTCCCACCCAGAAGGGAGCCCACTGGGTGATGTGAGAGCGTATTTCTGCCTTCATAAAGTCTGGGTGCCTGTGATTTCTGAGGGAGTGCTGCCAGGAGTGTGGGAAGCAGGGGGTGGGGTGAGGTTTATAGTCCAGTCAACCCCACTTTAACCATGTATTTACTGGCTGTGAGGGCTCAGGTGAGAGGCCTTACAACCTCCCTGGCCAGGAAGCTGCTTCAGCTGGAAAATTCTCTGTAGAACAGGGTGGAGAGCTGTGAACGGCCAGCATCGCACAGCTGTAGGAAGTGTGTCCCAGCCTGTTAAAGTGGTGCCCACTTCTGGGATCTCAGAGAGACCCCCTCTAGTGGCTCCAAGTCAGGGGGGATGCAACCCTCACCTGTCAGCGACTGTGCTCAGGGCACTCAGAACAAGGGGAGGAGTGGGGCGCAAGGCCAGGACGATTACATCACTCCACCTCCAGTAAAGGGGGGCCCACTCGCGCAGACGGGAAGTCAAGCTGAACCCAGAGCCCCTGCTGCCCTGACCATCTGCAGACAAGCTGCACTTGGCAGACCTCCAGATGTCCAGGACGCAGTCCACCCCCCACCTCTTTCCCGAGCCCTCAGAGCTCAGCGCAGGGAGGGATCAGGCCATCAGAGATGCACTCTGCACACGTGTCCTGCGCTCAGCCCACGTCCCCACCGAATGCCAACAAGTTTCTGCTGTGACAGATTCTGCAGCCACCAAGCCTGTGGTTAAAGCTGACACGACACTAGCGTTGAGCACCACCCACACTCCTACGAAGTTTGGGAAAAGCCTTCATCAGTGACTGGAGTTGTGCTATTCTGGGCTCAGCCCAGAAGGGAACTCCTGAGGGGACATCTGAGAAAAAAAGACATTTCCCAGGATACCCACTGGCCTTCCTTGTGAAGAGGCAGATGGAACCTGAGCTTCCAGGCCTTCTTTTTGTGGTTACGTGTCACTGAGTTGACTGCACACTATGCACATTAACTCTGAACTCTGCTCTATCCTGAGCCAGTCTCATTGACTCCTACACACCTATCCCCATAACCCCAGTTTCTGTGTCAATCCTTTTCATCTGGAATCTTCCTTTCCTGTGCTGTCCCTCCACCTTTCCAAGCATGATGTCCTTCTCCAAAGGCTGGTCCCTCCTGGCCATGTGCCCAAAGTATGTGAGACAGAGCCTTAAAATCCTTGCCTCCAAGGAGCATCTTGATTTCAACTGCTCTAGGATGGACCTGTAGCTGTTAGATGCCTCCTTATAGAGTGATCGTGGGAACCACAAATCAGTAGCTTTGTCCTATGTTGCCCTGTCCTCATGATCTCATGAGCCACATTTAATCTCATAGCTGCAGTCACCGTGTGTTAATATATCTGAGAATTGTCTTCTCTTTCACCTTCCCCAGTATGTCATTTTGAAAACGAACAAACTCTCTTGATAACATGCCCAAAGTATGAGACTTTCCTGGCCTCAAGTACCTCTAACTCTCTTGGGGCTCCTGTATTGAGGATTGTAACTGACAGACAACACTAGCTGCTGCTCTGAATCTAACACCTCATTTTCGGTCAAGGCTTCCCACGGCTGCTCTCAGTCAATGACTGAGAAGGTTATGAAGAGAGACCTCCCTCCTCTGAGACAGGCCTCTCTCTCCAAGGCCTGACTGAAACTGTCTTAGAAATGCACTATGCCAGGGAGCTCTGGTGGCCTAGTGGCAAGAAGGTGCACTACAATCCCATAGGTATGCAGTTTGAATCCACCGGGTGCTCTGCTGGAGAAGGAGGGGTAATCTCCTCCTGTACCAGTCAGATCCGATTTGACGGTACACACAAAACATAATAAAATAAAATAAATTAATAAAAAATGCACTGTGCCTTGCAGCTCTGCTTAACTATTCCCTCCTCCTCTCACCACCTCCCTCTTCAAGGCGCTCAGGCTAGCTTCCCTTCCTCCCCCTCAACCCTGCTAAATCTCTTGCACATCTAATCCCTGCTTGGTGTCTGGATCTATTAAAGGAAAAATCACTGTAAGAATCTCTGATCTAATGCTGATCTAAGTACTGCCTTTAAATCTTCACCTTTAAGATAATGAAGTTGAGGCACAACGAGATTGAGATTAAGATTAAGCCCAAGTCACACAGGTCACAAACGGCACCAAATTTGGACCTATGTATTTTCTGTGCCTGAGTTCATGCTCTTAATCACAGCACTGACTCTACTTCATAGCACTGAATAAAGATAAGAGTCACTGTAGCCAAAACACAACTGAACACTTTGCTCTGAAGCCCACCCTGGCTCACAGTAACCCTACAGGCTTGCCAAGGCTGTAAACTGTCATGGAGGCAGACTGCCACATCATTCTCTCAAGGAGTAACTGATGGGTTCTAACAGCTAGGGAGCTGAGTACTTTAGCCACTGCACAACCAAAACCCTACTGACCAGAAAACCGACAGGTCAATGGTTTGGATCCCCAGGAGAAAGATGGGCAGGCAGTCTCTGCCCTTTAGGACTTACAGCTGCAGGAACTGATGGAGCCGGGAGAGTTCCCGTGCCCTGGAATCTACTCCTTGACAGGGGCCAGTGGGAATCCTAACGAAATCAAATTGCCTCCTCTTTCTCCCATGAAGCAGTTGGTAGGTTCAAATTACTAACCTTTCAGTGAGCAGCCCAACACACAACCCATAATGTCACCAGGGCTTCTTAAATTTATGTAAAGTGCTCCATAAATATTACCTCTTATGTAACTATGGTAAAACCTCAACAAACATAAGGTTACAATAAGATGTGCTGACACTAACAGCTTGGGTACGGAGTTCACCCAGTTTAGGCTAAATTGACACATTATGGGGTTTCTTCCATCTTCACAAGCCCTGCAAGATAAGTGTTAGCTTTCTGTCCTTTACAGAAGTAGAAACTGAGGCTCAGAAACATTATGTTCCCCAAAGCAATCAACTAGTAGATATTGCAGTCACTCAGATGATGGAGTGACAGTGATGCTGGGCCACACTCAAAGGGGATCGAGAGAAGAAATGCCCCACGACAGGAGAGACACCCAGCTCTAACCTCATTCTTAGTCTTAGCATCATGCTTCAAAGATATAATAAACAGATGAAGCTGTGATCACAGAAGAGGAGAGCTCCCAGGGCTCTGTCTTCACATCTGCCTCTTCCTGTGTGTGACCCCGGACAGGTTACTTGACCTCTCTGGGCTTTGGTTTCCTAATTTGAAAATTGAGGCCAAAAATACTGACGTTCCCTGGGCCACTGACAGCATTAAATAAAATGTTAAATCTGAGCAACAAGAACATGAGGCACCCAGCAGAGGTTTAACAAATGCAAGCTGTTTTCTACAGGTAACAGGGCAGGGGAATTGAATCAGCTCAAAACCAGCTGGCCCAGTGGCTCTAAGATACTCGAAAACAACTCCAGTGAAGATAAAATCAAAGGCCTGGGGGAAGGAAGCAAGGCTGAGTGAGGGGCACCTCTTACCAGACTAATCAATAAGGCATTTTATGGTAATATGAAAAGTAGAAGGAAAGTCATACCAACATGTATGGAGTGCTTTATTCAGGCATAAGATGTTCTATGCCAAACCACGGTATTTTCAATGGCTTCACAGGCACGTCAAAGTTAATAAGAAGACCGAAGACGTGCTGCCTTTCAACTGAGGTATTGGCTAAAAATATTGAATATACTGTAGACTGCAAAAGAACAAACAAATCTGTCTTGGAGGAACAAACCAAGGTGTTCCTTAGAGGCAAGGATGTGACACTTCGCCTCACATACTCTGGACCTCTTTTTAGAAGGGCCAAGGCTTAGGGGAAAAGACATGATGCTTGGAAAGGTTAGAAAGGAATAGTCTCAACCAGATGGACTGAAAGAAGAACTGCAAAAACGAACTTGAGCATGGAGAACATGAGGACAGAGCAATGCTCCATCTGTCGGGATTAGTCATAGTCAAAAGTCAGATGGTGCAATGGTCAAGTTGCTGGCTGCTTATCAAAAAATTGGGGATTGGAAGCCATAAAGCAGTTCTGCAGGATAAAGATGACAGTCGGCTTGGGTAAAGACTTCTGCCTAGAAAATTCTGTGGGTACAGTACTACTGTGGTCCTGTACGGTCCCTCGGAGTAGGGATCCACTCCACAGCACACGAGAAGCCTTAAGTATCATCTCACTCGCCAGCAGCTCTAATAAACAGTTGGAGTGCCTTTACAGGCAAGGTAGAAATCAAATAGGGAGTCCTGGGTCACACCCAAGGCAGCCTAGGTGTGCCCAATTCCAAGGTTCATGTAGTAGAAACAGGAAGTTTCTGCTGGAGGCTCTGCGATACCTAAGACTTCGGTGGCGCCGTGGTGAAAGCAATCAGCCATTAACAGAAAAGTTGGCCGTCTGCATCCACCAGGAACAACTCTATAGGATAAAAAGGGGCCCTGTCTCATTCCAGAAAGAGTGACAGC